CTCTGGGGAGAACATTCATCAGGTGGGAGCCAGAGGATGGGGACAGAATTCTCAGTGGGAGGATGAAGTGTGATGGCCATAAATGGAACCACAAGAAATTCCACCTCAACAGGGGAAGAATTTCTTTACTTTGTGGGTGGCAGAGCTCTGGAAGTGCTGCACAGGGACAATCCAACCCCACCTGGATGTGTTCCTGAATCTCCTGATCCAGGTGAACCTGCCTTGGCAACAAGAATGATCTCCTGAGGTGCCTTCCAACCCCAACAATTCCACAACTCAGTGATTCTGTGGAGCTGCTTAAATGCTGTAATTAAATCCACCAGTATCACACCATGATGTAGATGTGCCTCCTACAGCTTAAAGGCTGCCAGCCTGGATCCTAGGAGCAGGATGGATCTGTTGGAATACAGAGCTCCACATGGATGAATTTTCCCTCCCCATGCCTGAGCAGCTGTCACACATCCTGATGGCACAAGGCACCTCGGGCTCCCCATATTCCAATTTGATGGCTTGTACAGCACAAAGAATCTACTCCTTAGGAGACTTTACATCAAGGGAAAAAGAAAAAAAACCACCAGCAAAGAAACTCAAGTTCACCCTGGACTCTGCAAAGTCCTCCAGTGTGTCAGACATTCTGAACCTGGAGAGTACAGAGGCTCTTTGATGAAAATTCAGGCAGTTACATGCAAAGAAAAATGGTATTTCCCAAAAGAGCCAGCACAAAAGATGTATTAAGTGATAATTTCATTCTCAAATGGTTTTCAAGCAACAACTGGTAGCACTTAAATCAACATTTTGCACATGATTAAATCCTAAGGACAACTAATTATTTCTGGCATTTCTTTCAAACTTCTCTATCAGCCAAGCTGATGTTGGAAAGCTTCTGCTGTGCTTTCACTGCAGTTAACTTTCAAAATACTTCTTCAATGAAATCATCACGCTGCTCATGGCAAGAGAAATTTATCTGTGGCCTGAATAAGACTCTGTGTTCCCCTTCAGCCTGCCTGAAAAAGATGGATTGCCTGCAGTAAATGTCATTATTCCAAGTTACCTTTGTGTAGTGCCACCCATGGGCACAGCACAGCCCCATGGGTGAGCGTATTCGAAGCCCACTGGGAAATCCATGGATTTATAAATGTTGTTTAAGCAGTACCAAGAGCCTCATGAGAGCATTTCCACAGAGTGAATTTCTCCCTGAATGCATGACATGAATTGCACTCATTGTGATAGAACTGCTCATGCCTCATTTGATGGAATACATAAAGAACAATAAACAGCAAAGTGCCAGTGTGGCATATGCAACATCCAGATTTATACTGCAGAGTGAATCTTTTTGGCCTGACCCAGGAGCAATAAATAGCAGGAAACAGGATTGTTACATTCAGGTGAAAGATTGACTGTAGTGTAGCACAAAAGGTCTCATTAGATTTATGTACCTGGAAGGAACAGAATTAATGTACTTAGAGAAAATCAATTTGATACCACCTGTATTATATATGCAACAACAGCCAGGTAAATGATAGCTTTAATTTAAACTTTTCTTGCTTTATTTAATTTAAGGTAAGCCCCAGACTGTATTTTGTGGTGCTGGGCTGCAGGGTTTATCTTGAAAAATACTTTATTGTTAAAGAAAAGTGGGTAGCTAATCCCTGTGCAGCACACTGAAAATAACCCTTAAATTTCATTCTAATGGCATATCTCTGGTATTCACAGGAATGCCAGCTCTGAGACTGTTAAATTTGGAATTTAATGGAGGGCAATCACAGCCAAAATATGTCTGGGGAAAGTACTAGCAGAGAGGGCATGTTCCTTCTCTGTGTGGGTGCTTAATTGGGGGTGTCTGAGGAGTTCAGTTCCCAAAATTTTATACCCCCCTCCAAAGCACAGAATATAAGGCCAGGAAGCTCTGGACAGCAAAAAATTGCAGTGTTAACTTCTCCCTGGCTACCACTTTGTGGGATCTCATTCCCTGCTTTGCATCCAGAATTATTCAGATCCAAGTGTTCACATGAGAGGACAGAGATGCCCTGGAGATCCTCAGGGCAGCACTTGCACAGCTCTGAGATGTGGGGTTGTATTTTAGACTCCTCTGGGACAACTCAGATTTTAGAATGGGTCTAAACAGAGCAGGTACAGTCGTAATAAAAAATGAAATGCAGCTCCAAGCACTCCAGGAATTGCTTGTGGAAATATTGAACTGACAAAGCATTTTAAGAAGTGAGAAAATATTATAATTTAATATTATCATTTAAGGAAATAGTTTTATGGATGGCAAAAGAAGAGAGTAGGGAAGGCTTCTGCAGAAAAGAAATGCAAATTAACTCACAGAAAGGCAGGGTAGCACAATCTGATTCACACTTTGTTCTCCCTAAAACTGGCAGGAAAACCACATTTCAATTCCCAGAGTGTAATAACACGACATATTACACACATGTATGTGAGACGTAGAAATGCCACAACTTATTTATTTTTGTTGATTGGCAGTGTTAGTTCTCCATTAAAAGTGTAGTATTAAGATCTTTTTATCAGGCCTGAGTTAGACCCTATAAAATAAAAATTCTCTGATGAAATAAACAGCGTTTCTTAATGACAATAATTTTTTTAAAAATATTTTTGTGTATAGTACAAGCATGCAATATTTTTTTTTCTTTTGCCAATTTTTTTTGTAGCTTTTAAGTGATTTTTTTTTCTTTTTTCTTCCTTTGCTGGCTTTTAATTTTTTTTTTTTTTTTTTACTTTTTTCTTTTCCAGCAAGTCGTGCCTTAGGAAATGTATAGTATGAATTTTCCTTGCTGTCTCCATTTAGGAACTCTGCACTGATCTTTCAACAGGGAAGGCTGTAAAAAACCTCAAGATTAATAAACAAACACCTCCCACTGTCCCAGGCTGCTCCAGCCCCAGTGTCCAACCTGGCCTTGGGCACTGCCAGGGATCCAGGGATGGAATTCCATCCCAGCCCCTGCCCACTCTGCCAGGGAACAATTCCTCATTCCCAGGATCCCATCCAGTTTGAAGCCATTCCCTGTGTCCTGTCCCTCCAGTTCCTGACAAAGGACCCCTCCCCACAAGCACAAGCATTTCATGAGGACAGTGCAGACAGCCCTGAAGGAAATGCAGGCACCTCTATCCACAAAGGGGAATTTTGGCAGCTGAAATCTCAGCCACCTCCTGTGCAGGGAGCCACAGCATCACCCTGAGCGCCTCAGTGCGTGCACATGCTAATAGAAAACAGCAAAAAGAAGGAGAAAATACAGAACCATGGAATATCCTGAGTTGGAAGGGACCCACAGGGATCATCCAGTGCCACCCCTGCCCTGCCCAGACCCCCCCAAAATCCCACCCTGGGCAACCTTGGCAGTGCTGACCAAGGGAGCTCTGGCAGTCTCAGGACTGTGCCCATTCCCTGGGCAGCCTGGGCAGTGCCAGCACCCTCTGGGGAAGAACCTTGCCCTAAAATCCAACCTAAACCTCTCAGCAACAATTAACTCTGATTATCTACTCCAGTGCACTTTATGGAATTTACACTGAGGGAAACTGCGATCAGTTCTCTTAAAGAAATGCCAGCACAAATATTTCAGAGGCATTTTAGGAAGCAGGCAAGACTGATTTTGAATCAATACACCATTTATGATTATACCTGTGCATTTGCTTAGCACAAAAAAAAATTAAAAAGACACTGGAATAGGCTAAAGACACCTAAACTTCTTAATAAGCAGCCTTACAAGAAAACTTCCTCTAATTCTTGGTAACTTCAGCTCACCATTTATTTCTATGTATCTCAAATCTTTGACTGCTCACTGGAAATCCTGATTTGACTTTAGCCCAATTCGCACCCTCACCACAGAACAGAGGAGGTGTGATAAGCTGGCAGACCACTTTGCCCTGCCAGTGGTGCTCATCACACCAGCACAGCAAGTGTGAACAGCAACCACAGAGCCCAGGGCTGAGGTTTTCCTCAACAACTGACCCTGGGAGATGAGATTAAAACACAGCACAGGTGTTTGTGACAGGGAGATGTAAAGCACCGGCTCCACTGGTACATCACTAACAATTGTCAGCAACTGACTCTTCTGGACCTTTGCCCCTCAGCAACACCAAAGGAAAACTGTTTTGACAGTCAGGGATTTTAAACAGGAAAGCACTTGTTTGGATAGCTTCCTTAAAAAAAAATACAAATCTTCATTGTGTTTCTTCAGATGTCCCACAGGGTGCTCCTAAGCTTGGGAAAGGCGCCAGTCAATATCCAAAAATCCACTGTAATACCATTGCAGACTAATTGACACAAGTCTTCTTTATAGTGACATTCCCCCAAAAAATGTCCTGAGACAACAGTCAATACACAGACACTCTGTGGCTACTGCCTGTTGAGTTATTTATTTTTCTGTTCCTTTCTACTCCCCTGCCTGCCTCCATATTGATGTTTTTTTTTTTTTTTTCAGCATGAGTTCTTAAATCCAACTCCACTTTTTGGCATTATGTTTACAGTGACTACAAAAGGAAAGATCAATAGTTCACTCCCTCTGCCATTACAAGATTTTACTGCCAGTGTTTCCCTGTTTGGTTATCTTTGGAGCAAAGACAACTGCCCAAATTGTTGGATCTGACAGCTTCCATGGAGTGTTAGATCACACACACCACACCCTTTGATGGATCAATGGTGCTGCTCCAGGCTACAGCAAATCCCCATTTTATTAACTTTAATATGTGCTCTTTCACCTGGTGTGCAAAGCAAATTCACATCCAAAAATGATCAGCAGTCAGAAGAAAGGCACTGCACAAGCTCAGGAGAAGTCTGTGTCAGTAGCACCATTTCAGACTCTCTGTAACACCTGAACATGGATTGCAGGTCAAAGCAGGACAACCTGGAGCCTCCAGGGATGGCAGCAGTGGCCAGGTGGGATAATGAGGCACCTAAAATGGTGCTAAATTCACAGGTTGAGACAACTGAGCCACATCCATCACAAAAATCCCTGTTCTTGAGCCACCCCCAGCCTCCTTACCTTGACCCGTTCACCTGGTTGGGGTTACACTCCATCTTGATGGTGACTCTGGCCGGGGGCTGTGACAACCAGTCCTGCTGGGGGACACGTGGGCTCATCTTGGAGGTCTGCCCATATTCACTGGAGGAGGAGGCTGTCATCTCTGTCTTGGTGAGGTGGGGTGATCCGTAGGCACACTCAAACAGGGACTGGTCTTCGCTCACCACCGATAACGCTTCCTGCAAACCAGAGACAGGTCAGGGCAAACAGCACAAGGCTCCCCAGGGAAAAAGGGCTTCTCCATCTCACAGGGAGGGGAACAGTCTCATGCATCAAGGAAAAATTAGGTTGGATGTTAGGAAAATGTTTTTTACGGAAAGAGTGATAAAGTTCTGGAATGGGGGGTGGTGGAGTCCCCATCCCTGGGTGTGTTTAACAAAGCCTGGATGTGGCACTGGGTGCCAGGGTTCAGTTGGGCTGTTGGGGCTGGGCTGGACTCAAGGGTCTTGAAGGTCTCTTCCAATCTAATAGTTGTGTTCTGTTCTATTAGTTTTTAGGCACAGCACTTTTGTCACTGAAGGTGAGGACCCATGGGGACAGGTGTTGTCAGCAAATGACAGGACAGTTGTAACAGTTGTGCACCAGAGGATGGCATGGAATGGTACAAATAATAATGTGGTTTATATCCCTACAAAAGATGCTTGGAATATTGCATGATCATGCCTGAGGGTGTTAGTTACCCACAGTGACCAGGAATAACAATTCTCTCTGAGAAAGAAAAAAGATAATAGAAAAGATAATGTAAAAGAAGAAGAAAACAAAACTTGGATAGCAATTTTTCTTTCATATTTTATTTAATTTTTCACTCTGAGTGAGCTTCAGAGCAAAATTCATTGGATTAGAGTTTCTCTCCCTGACATCAGAGGTTTGCCACTGGTCATAGTGGCAAACAAAGTCCTGCTGTGGGCTCTAGGCCTGCTGCAAACCCCACCAAAGGCAACAACAAAAAAAAAATTCCACTTACTTTGATGTGGTTTGGATAAGATTTAAGTTCATTTTAAAAATAGATGGACTTGATGGGGGAACTCTCCCTGGGGAGACCCTCCCAGTGCAGCTGGGCAGAAACACAAACACACACTACCAAACACTTGGGAGAAACACAAACGCACACTACCAAACACTGGGAACGGAGGAGAGGGCAGAGTGGGCAGCACAGCCCAGGTCTGTGGGGTCTCAGTAGAGATACAGAGGGTGAAATCTGCTAAATGAAGCAAAAATTGCAGCCCCTGAGAGGAGCAATCAAAGGCCAGGCCCTGCTGAGCCCCTGGGATCCTCCTTTCCTTCCTCAGGGACCCAGCCAAGTCCTTTCTGGACCAGGAGCCAAGGGATTAAGGCACAATCTCTAACACAGGGACACCATGCCCACCAGCCACTTTCCTCCCTCTGATGGCAACTCTTCCTGGTGGAAATCCCACTCTGGAGAGTGGGAAGTGCTTCCCATCCTCTTCATGGCAGCATGGGGGTTATGGCTGAGGGCATCAGGGCCCATCAGGTGCCATCATGTCTGTCTGGAGGCCTGACAGAGACCAGAGGGAGGGACAGTGACCCTCTATCCCCACTGCCAAGCATTCCTGCTGGCACCAATTCCTTCCCTGAGCTATCTGGAGCTGAGTCTTGTGAGTGAGGCAGAGCCTGTAGCCACCACATCCACCAAGAAGTGTGGGAAGGGCTGAAACTCCTGAAGGGACACATTCCACCTGAGATGAGGCTCCCCAGGCACGAGGGAGGCTGCCACACTGTCCTTCAGCAGTGCACAGGCTTGGGGGCACCCTCTAAAAGCACAATTCTGAGGAAATCCAGCTTCTCCAGGGGTCACTTTGGGGGCACAAGGTGCATAAGGGTGCAAATTCAATCATTGGAAGAGGCTGCCCAGGGAGGTGCTGGAGTCCCCATCCCTGGAGGTGTCCAATGAGCACCTGGATGTGGCACTCAGTGACAATGTGGGCACTGGGAACAGCTTGGGCTCAATGGGCTGGGAGGGCTTTTCCAGTCTCAGGGACTCTGTGAAAGGGCAGTGGCCCACTGTGTGACTCCATCCTGGCCTGGAATTGAGCAGAGGTGCAGCCCAGCATCTCCCTCCTGACATTTTGGGGACAATCCCCACTGTGTGACTCCATCCTGGCCTGGAATGGAGCAGGGGTGCAGCCCAGTACCTCCTCCCTGGATTTTGGGGACAATTCCCAGCCCTGGGCCATTGAGGAGGCTCCGTGTGGGCCCAGGGGCTGATGGAAGCTGAGGGGGAGGCTGGGCCAGCTGGCCATGGCTGCGAGTTTGGGGGCCAAGGATCAGGGAATGAGGGGAATCCTGAGCCAGACTCGGGGCAGGGAGCTCTGTGAGGCAGTGTGGGTGGGCTGTGCTCCTGCCAGATCTGCTGCTGACGGCCAGAAACATGGTCCTGTCAGCAGAGGAGAAGGGAGAGAGAAAGGGATGGGAGTTCTCTGGGAGGGTGGGTGGTTTTCTGCAGGCTCCCACCCTCCCTGGCTGCTGAAGAGGGCTCTGCTGAGCTCCAGCAGTCACATGCTGCCCTAAAAATCAGTGTTTGTTCATTTGAAAACCCATGGTGTGACCCCTGCAGATGTTCTATGCAGGGGGAATAGCTGGACTTCATCCTGGTGAGTTTCTACTCTGTGATTCTACATTTCCTCCTTTTTATCCATCTTGTTTGTGAGGCCTTGGGGTGCACTCTGCTAATATTCATAGTTGCAAAGGTGAGAACATCACTTCCCGCCTCTAACTGCCTGTGAAAACTGAGATCACCCCTTAATCCCAGGGCTTGGGGAGGGGGATCTCAGGCCCTTCAAGCTCCCTGAGACTCATGATTTAATTACTAACACTGAGTTCAGGCAGTGATCTGCACCCTTTTACTGCTGATTTTCAGATGTCACCTGGGTGCAAAGATCACCACTAGGCTGCCACAATTGACTTCTCAGTTCCTTCCTTCTCTCCCACCAAAATGCAACCAGTTGCCTCTGCCTCTGGTTCTGTGAGACAAAAAGGATGCCAGGATACACCTCCCCTTTTTGTCACGCCAGAAATCTTTGCTGTTGGTGGTCTGAAGCTTTTCTAAAGAGCCTTTTCTGAGAAAACCTGCAGACCAAGGAGGGGTGGGGGGAGATGGCCACTGGTCCCTTGCTCCTCAAGGATTCTTCCCTGGCTCTGCTGAGAAACCTCAGGGAACTTGATGTGCTTGGATTATAAAGTAGCAGGGATGACATAACAAGAACTAAAGAAAGATGTTACACCGGAAGGAAAATAAAGAGCTCTTTCTCAGCAGCCCACAAGATTTTTTCATGAAATAACTCCCCAAAATTAAATATATGTGTGCACAAACACAATCTGACCAGATGATCACAGTGCATCCCATGCTTGACACTACTGAATGCACAGTTCCCTCTTTTCTGCCCCAATCCATGAGACAAAAAACACAAACCAACATGTTGATTTTGAAAGAGTTAGCTCCAGTAAATACACTAAAGGGTGAATTATACAGGAGAAAGCTGATACAGATTGCAAATAAAACATTATTTAACTCTATTTACTACTGTAAATAGTGGAATATTGTATTTAGTATTGTAAAGAGTATAAAGAGTTACTGTTAGAGTATTGTATTTACTACTATAACTGTTCACTCATGGACCTTTTCAAAACAGGCATCAAGCCTGTTTTGGAATGGAGAAATAAATCCATAATGGATTTATTTCTCATCCTCCCCCACACAAGTAACACAAAGCAAATTTTCTGGTTCCTACTAAAAATGACTCCACCTAATGTAAGTTAATTTATGGATATTTAGGGTAAGTATAAATGTAAAGAACAAGAAAAAAAGGGTTTTCTATTTATTGGCATTACTAATGACAACAAACACTGCTTGTGCTATGGGTGTCCATTATGTTGCCTGAAGAGGGAAAATGCAAACATTTAAACTTCCTGATGAACATTGTAAATGCTTGCAATACAAACCAAATTACCTAGGGCTGTGTGAAAATCTACAACTATGGACACAAAACAAGACAAACATAAATGAGCCCAAGAGACAGATTTAAACTTCACATTTGAGAGGAAAATTCCTGGAGAAAGCAAGCTGAGCCTGAGTTTAGCTGTGGTTTATTAGACTGAGTTTAGCTGTGGTTTATCATCTGTATCCATCGTGCTGGTTATCAGTCAGTGCTCACTGCCAGGTCTGGGAAGGCTCTGCAGGAACCACTGAGCTCCTGCCAGCTTTGTGTGCTGAGGGTCAGGCCCTGTGTGGAGGATCATTAATGTGCACCCCACAACACCCTCTGCCATTCACCCTCCTGGTCTTGGTGGCCTGTCCGGAAGGACAGCAGGACAGGGATCTCCCCTCCCCGGGTGACAAAAGCTGCCCTGGCCATCAAAGCCTGTGCAAGACATGAGGAGTCAGCACAACTAAAGGACGTGGCCCATGCTGGAATCAGCCTCAGGTCTTCTTCAACCTCTTCTTCCTCTCAATGATCTTTAATCAGTGAATCAAAGAATGGGTTGGGTAGGAAGGGAACTAAAAGATCACTTCATTCCACCTCCCTGGGACACCTTCCACTGTCCCAGGCTAGTCCAAGCCCCAGTGTTCAACCTGGCCTTGGGCACTTCCAGGGATCCAGGGGTGGAATTCCATCCCAGCCCCTGCCCACCCTGCCAGGAAACAATTCCTATTTCCCAAGATCCCATCAAATACTATTTTGAAGCCATTTCCTGGGTCCTGTCTCTCCATCCCTTGTCCCCAGCCCCTTTCCAGCTCTCCTGGAGCCCCCTTAGGCTCTGGAAGGGCCTCTGGGCTCTCCCTGGAGCTTCTCTTCTCCAGATGAGCACCCTCAGCTCTCCCAGCCTGGCTCCAGAGGGATTCCAGCCCTGGGCTCAACTTAAGCCACTTAAAACGTGAGGATTTGTGGCCCAGCCTTTTCTGAATAATCCACTGACACTGCAAGACCCAGGGATGCTGAACAACCAGAACCCAACCTGGCAGAACCAGCCCTGAATCTCATCCTGGGGAAAAGCAGCCAGCAATAGGAAGCATTTCTCAGTTCTACAGGAATTTCTGATGATAGGCATGGCTTGGTGTCCCCAAAGTGTGAGCTGTGAAAGGAAGGCTCCAACAGCAAGCTGCTGTCCTGGAACAGCTGACAGAAAGCAGTGTGGGTTATTTCTCTCCTAAATACAAGGA